TCACCTCAGCCTCCCAAAGGCACGGGATTACAGGCTGAGCCACTGAGCCCGGCTAGTCTTCAAGTATTTGTAAGGCTATATGTCCCTCTTCAATAACAACTGCTTCCTCCTTCAACAATTTTTAACGTGAAATAATTTTTCTGTCCCTATTCTATAAATATGCACTGAGTGCTTACTGTCAGCCAAACACTGGAGAAACAGTGGTGAACAAAATGTGTGCCCTGGTGGAATTTACAACTGCTGAGACTATTCCAACCCCTCAATCCTGTTAACTCCATGTCAAGCCACTGACGTTCCCAGCACCTTCCCTATCTCAGTCACCACTGCCCCAGTCAATTACATTCAAATCAACCCCTTCCCTTCTTTCAAAGCAATTATCTCCATTGGCATATTATATATGCACGTGTCACCTCCATAAAGGCAGGGACATTTTCTGTTTTGTTCATGCCTGTCCCAGGACCCTGAACAATGTCAAGCCTGCAGAAAACACTCTGTATCTGAAGAGTGAATTACTTAAGTAGTCTCCACCTTGGCTGTCAACTTAGTCTCCAACTCCGGTAGGTTTTTCACAGAAATTCCTAATCCACCTGCCACTTTCACGACGTCAGCCTCCACACCAGCTGTCCCTCCACCACGTTCATCTTTACTCCTCCGCACCAAGTACAGGAGTGAAAAGTGAAGCTTTCACGTAAGAGTTCTCTACCCAGTTATGCCTGAAATTGCACTAGGGTGGGAGCGAAGCTGTGGTGTCGTCAAGATGCCTTCTGGGGTGTTTTCCACCCCGCCCTCTTCCAGCCCGCGAAGTCCACGTGCGTGCGAGTTTGAGGGCGGACTCAGCTTGGGAGTGGGAGCGGTGAGGAGTCATCGCCCTTGACCGCCCAGGCCCCAGAGATCCAGGCCCTCCGAGCCCAGGTCTAAGTGCGATACCAGCTTGCCGAGTCCAGGCTTCCGGCTCTAGGTTCCCCGGGAGGGGCGGCCCCGGCACGCCCTAAAGAAGCGGCTTCCCCTCTCCCAGGCACCAGGCCTCACCTTGTCTGGTGTCTCTTTGGCCACGCCGCAGTGGACCCACGCCACGCACGTCACCTGGCGGCTGCGATTCATGGTCGGTCAGGCTAGAGACCCGCCACACAGCGGCTGGCACCCTCCGGACTTCGCCGGCCGCTGAGCGGGCAGAGCGCAGGCGCGGGCACGTGCGGCTGCGGCAGCGGCGCCCGCTTCTGACGTCACTCGGAAGCGCCGAAGGGAAAGGGAGGGAGGGAGCAAGGCGAAGCGGAAGCTGCGGGCGGGGTGTCCACGTGGCGTCGCCTGTGCTGCGTCCAGAAGGTTGAAAGGCCTCTCAGGAGCGCGTGTGACAGGGTCTGCGGGTTACGCCGAGGCACAGAAAATACTTGGAACTGTAGGGGTCAGTCAGAGACAGAGTTCACCATTCTCTGTTTTGCCTGCGGTTCCATAGACTTCAAGCTGACACATGGCTTGTGGGGTTTTGGTTTTGTTAGAGGTTAAATCTTTCTCCAAAATGGATTTGTCGTTCAAGGAGATTCCACCGTTGCATTTTATTTAATTCTTGAATGTCACTTCCTCACCTTAAAACATTTAACACTGTGTACCAAATACGCGGTCATGATTGTAGCATTGGCAAACAAAATGCTTGTGATGCTGAAAGCACCGTTTTAGGTGCCTTATACGAACTTGGTTACTTATTAACCCTGTGTGGGAAGCCTTATTTCTATTTTACACATTGGGAAACAATGCTCGTTCCCACATTCACACTGCTGTTCAGCGATGTGGCTAGGATATGGGCCCAGGCAGTGGGACTCCAGATCCCTGGCTATTATGTGTGTCATGCTTCTGGGCGAAGGTAGGAGTCACCTATTAGAAATTTCCAGTGGCTGGAGGACTTTAGAATGGAAAGTCTTAAGCTAGCATCCCAGAAAGGTCTGGGTTTTGATCTCTTTCTTGGCTGTGTGACCCTGTTCGAATTGTTTGTCCTCTCTGATCTTCCATGTGCCTACCTCTGAGACAGGCAAGCAAGCAAAACAGGAGGAGGGCTGCTATGGGGGAAAGCGGTGGCAAAGATAAACTGGCAGAACATGGTGTTCCCCAGTACATCCTCAAGGGGGGGGGCGGGTGTCCACCTTTGGGGTCAATTCGGGAAACTTTTTGCAACACATCTTCAAGTGCAACATTTTACTTGGTTCTCACAACACTGATGAAACATGACCAAGAATTACCTTCATTTTAGAGAGGAAGTTAGAGGTCCCAGTGGGCGATGCCTTACTACTCTGAGATCACACACACAGTTAGGAGCTGCTATAACTAAAATAATTTCTGTTACCAGCTCTACACTCAGCCCCATGTTCTCAGCACTCTCCCAGCCTGAGGAGGGATCCTCTCAGGAGTAAATTGCTCATTGTTTGAGTAGGCAGACGATGTGTCCATCAAGGCCTCTTCCAGTGCTGTTTCTCTAATGGGATTCTTCAGTAGTTTCTTTGCTTTTGATCCATTTAGAAACATGGTATGGCAGTTTGTATTTTTCAAAGACAGACACAGCAATATTGTCTTTCACACGTTTTCTACAATGCAATCTTTTTACTCCTCCTTCAAAGCATGAGCTCTCCAATCTTGAATCTGGCCAGTATTATGACTGATTTGACCAACAGAGTATGATAGAAGTGACACTTCCAAGACTAGATCATAAATGGGATGAAGGTTTTGCTTTTTTTTTCTTTCCTGCTGGAGCATTCACGTTTGGAACCCTAAGCTACCATATCAAGTCTGACTACCCCGAGGCCACCATGCGGGTGCTTGAATAGATAGTTCTGGTTTTTGAATCAACCCAGGCAGATACATGAAAGAGCCTTAAGATGATTTCAGCTCCAAGACATTGATTCACCTCCAGCCTTTGAGTTTTCCCAGCTGGGACCCAGCCACCGTGGATGTAAGCCATTCCCACTGTGCCCTGGCCAAAGTTCTGATCCCTGTAATCCATGAGCTTAGTAAAATGGTGTTTCAAACCACTAAGACTTTTTGATCCTTGTATTTTTTTTTGTTACGGTAAAATATACATAACACAGAATCTATCATTTTAAGCCATTTTAAGGTTACAGTTTAGTGTCAGTAAGTATCAGGTCACTAAGTTTTGAGGTCATTTAAAAAATGTAAAAATAACAAACAGGTGAGAACCTGTGCTATATTTAAAATAGAGACTGATTTCTGACCACCTGGCTAGAATAAGGTGGGCTCATCTGGCTTGTGGAAGTGGGCTTGCATCTGAGTATCTGACTCAGGTTCTTTTCCCTCTGGGGTTTGTCCTCTTATGAACCAGCTGCTGTTCGGTGGTGGCCCAGTCCCTGTCTGGTTTGCTGTTGCCCCTAGCGTGGTGCCTGGTACAGAGTGGGCACTTGATAAATGTTTGTTAAGCGAGTGAATAAATTAAAGAATGGAAGGTGGGCTCGGACTCCAGTTATTTTGGGATTGCTAAACTCATCCTCTTTTAGGGAATTTATTTCTGACATTCTGCTGCTACAGCCCAAGCTGTGAATTCTCTTTAAAAATGAAAATCCAACTGCAGCTGGCATTATGAGTTCCTTAGAATGGGGAAATGAAAGAGATGGAGCTTAAGTAGCTGTTTCTAAGCCTGATTCTTGGAAACTGATGTGCATATTTAACTCAGAAAAGTCTCTTTGCCAGAGGCCAGAAGAAAATGTCGTTGGTGGCACGCTGACTATTCTTAGAGTGAAAGATCCCAGAGGATTGAACCCAGGCCTGTGCTGGGCTCTTGTTACACCCCATGGGCCAGTGTCATGTGTAATTAGGCTCCTGGACAGGTTTTCTAGTTGGCCTTGGGTGCTGGAAAGGAAGTGAAGTCTGAAGTGGCCTCCTCCCCATTGGATAAGGCTCTGTTTCTTGCTTCTCCTCTTGCTAACCTGATAACACCAGCCAAGAACTTGTTAAAGGAATAATGAACAGCTACCAGCTACCAAATGCTGGAGACTTAGAACAGACTTTACAGTGACAAAATCAGGTGTACAAAAATTAAACTCCTTTTCTAGGACCAAATTTCCATTTTCATGAGGACAAGAACCATGAGGGTCTTGTTGCCACAGTATTGTCAACACCTAGCAGAGTGCCTGGCACAAAAGATGCCAATGAATATTTGCTGAATACATGAATGATATCAGAGTTCTAAACTGAAGTGCCAAGACATTAGGAAGCTTGCCCAAGCCGGGCTCGGTGGCTCAGCCTATAATCCTGCGCCTTGGGAGGCCGAGGTGAATGAATTGCCTGAGCCCGTGGGTTCGAGACCTGTCTGGGCAACTTGGCGAGACCTAATCTCTACAGTAAAAAAAAAAAAAAGGAAGCTTGCCCAAGTTAGCAATGGTAAGATATTGTCCTGCCTCTTGGTGTAGGATGTTTCTTGAATGCCTTGTATGGCTGGCAGAGCTGCTCATCAATTCATTCATTCATTCTGTGGTGTGGCAGGACTCTTTTTTTTTTTGGAGTCTCACCTTGTCACCCAGGCCGGAGTGCAGTGGCACAGTCATGACTACCGCAGCCTCGAACTGCTGGGCTCAGGTGATCCTTCTGCCTCAATTATCCTAGAAGCTGGAACTATAGGTATATGCCACCACACCTGGCTCATTTTTTAATTTTTAATTTTATTTATTGTAGAAACACGTCTCACCAAGTTGCCCAGGCTGGTCTCAAACCCCCTGGGCTCAGGCAATTCTCTTGCCTCTGCCTCTCAAAGTGCTGGGACTACAGGTGTGAACCACCACTCTGGCTTGTCAGTACTCTGAAGGCAAGTGACAGATAACCAACTCTATTTGCCCTAGGCAAGAAATGGAATTGGTATGCTCGGATGACTCAAGTCAAATGACTAAATGGCTTCAGACATAACTGGATGCAGCGGCTTGCACCACTTTCTTCAGGATTTGATCTCTCTCCCATACCCCATATCTGTCTTCCAATCTGTTGGCTTTATTTGAGGCTCTCAGCAGCTACGGGCTTGCAGTATCCATACTTCTTGCAGTCCCAGCAGAACAGGCACTTGCTTTTATCCCCAATTCTTTCTGTCTCGTGTGTCTCTTCAGTTCTGGAATGGTCACCAGCGTCTGTGGTCAGGAGCAGGTGATGTTCTGCTGGGCAAGTCCTGAGCCACACACCCAGCCCTGGGGCCAGGGAGGGAATTTGCGCTACAGGGAACTCATGAGATGGGGAGGCAAGCATTCTCTAGAGGGAACTTGGGGCATTCCTCCCGGGAGTAGGTGGCAAGAACTGCTGCTCACGATATCCTCAAACATTTCTCTGCCATCGTTGGGCAGAACACAGTTTGTGAGACAGGAAGCTACGAAGATGAGCAGGACACAACCCTTCCCTCCTAAGGACTTTGTACTCTAGTGGAGGGTCAGGGTGTGGAGTCAAGGGAAAATTAGGTGATCCAAATTCCAGTCAAACCCTCAGGCCTTGTTGGTGACTGCCTCACCTGGTTCAGCTTCCAGTTGCTGGGTGACACTTGAGGTTTTTGACCATTGACCCTCCGCCAAGACTCTGCACCTCCCTGGTCCTGTCCTTGTCCTTGATAGTGATGACCAACACCACCACCTCTTAGAAAGCTCCTCCTCCCAGGGTGAAGGAACAGTTCTGTCTCCCCTCACATTTATCAGAAAGCGAAGCTTCCATCCAATCAGCTTCTGATTCCGGTTCTACCTAGGTTGTCTGCTCCAGTCTTTCTCCAGATGACAGCTGTGTGGTCTCCAGGCCACCCTCCCAGCTCTGAGGCTAGGCAGTGTGAACGGGGAGGACAGAGGACAGAGAAAGGATAGGGAACTAGAGGATGCTGGCTTGCTGTTGGTTAGGGAGGCACAAAGCTGTGGGCAGGGGTGTAGGGTGATGAGTAATGTGATCTGACTTATCTTTTAGGTCGTCCTAGCTCCTGTATGTAGAACACGAGGGCAGGGGCAGAGAGAATGTGGGGAGAAAGATGAGAAGACTATTGTAGTCATCGAGTGGGAGAGGACAGTGACATGAGTCAGAGGGTTGGGAAAGGAGAAGAGGAGAGATGTCATCTCCTGACACAAGGGTCTGTGAGGAACCTGTAGCTATATTTAATCTACCTGGCTG